TATTCCATTACATTTCCTTTGTTTCACTCCAACCCTGTGTTTTGCTTCCCTTTGTTCCGAACACAGCCTTAGTTTTTATCAACAATTCTGTGAAAAAACTCTGATCTGCAAAACAGACAGAATTAATGTTTAAATTATTATTTTATTTCTAACGATAAATAACTTGCAAACAGTACTCTCTCTGTTGCTCAATCTAATATTTCCTCTGAATCCATAGTAAGTATCGTAGTTTTGAACTGAAGTTAAACTTAAACTTTATTAAGACAAATTTGAGGACGAACCTGGTATCCTTTTTCTTATGGTATTCTATATTGTGTAAATTCGGTATTACATGGATATATTTATTAAATCATGCAAAGTTTTATAATTAATAATTAATTAGTTCAAATCATGATACTACTTAATTTCTTTTGTGAAATATGATACTACTTAAAATTACCCACATGTATGTGTGTTAATAACTATCTCTACACCTGCATGGCACGTGCTATTTACTAGTACTATTTAGCTCGTGGATCGATAGTTTGTGACCACGAACGAACCACCCAGCTCCCCGCATGCACATTTTTGGCCCAACCCATTCGCTTTTCCCCCAGTTTTGGGTAGGTTACATAATATTTTGTCGCAGGTTTTTTATGCTTTTATTTTTCATTTTCAATATTTCCTTCTCCATTTTCGTCTTTCTTTATCTTTTTTTATGTTAGTCGTTTCTTTTCTTTTTTCCTTTTATTTCTTTCATTTGTCCATTTTGTGGTCATCTTTCAAATTTGTGTTTTTTAAAAAGCATGAACACTTTCTGATATTTACGATATTGTAAAAAAAATTAATTCATGAATATCTTTCGAATTATAAACATTTTTTAATATGCAAACATTTTCTAAATTCATGGATTTTTTTTTAAATTGTGAACATTATTTGGAATGCGTGAATATTTTTTGGAATGGGCGAACATTTTATGAATTGACGAACATTGTTTTTGGAATTTGTTTTTCTGAAATAACGTACAATTTTCTAATTTCTGAACGTTTTTTTTACAAATTTGTGAACATTTTCTTTGAATCCCGTGAACCTTTTGTGAATCGATGAACAATTTTGGAAATTATGGAATATTTTTTGAAATTCACAAACACTTTTTGATTTTGATGAACATTTTTTGATTTGAATCAATGAATATTTTTCTTATTGTATGACTTTTTTTTAAATTTTGTGAACCTTAAACTTTGATCAATTACTCGAATACGTTTTTCAAAATCGTGAATAATTTTTTATTTTTCAAACTTTATTTCGGCTCGACGCCACAAGCACACGCTGGACGCAGCGCTCGCCTCAGGCCCTTCCCTGCGTGCAGCAGCTTCGCCCAACGCCCCAAGCGCACGCAGGACGCACCGCAACCCCGGCTCAGGCGAGCTGCCACTGGCCACTGCCGCATACCATGTGCCATGACATGAGCCTATGCCCAGTCTTCCCATAGATCACAGTTGCTGACCTGCCTTTGCACTGCACCACACCAGGGATAGTGATCATCACTCCATTTTCGGCTCTCACTTCTCACCGGTGTCATGCCTCCTCGACACGTTTCATGGCGCAGGCCATTATTGCATTACTTGACTCTTGGAGCAGCTCCAGCTTTTCTTTTCTGGAACGAAGCACCTCCAGCTTTTATCTATTTCAACGAAGCAGCTCCAGCATTATCTCCAGACACTCGTCCCATCCGTCCTGGCCAAAAATGGAAAGATGAAAGAGAAGTTCCCGGTGACCTCTGGCCCCTGCCCTCTATCATGGAGACCCCATCTGGGATTGAATTCAAGTGTGCTAAACCATAGGCTTCGATTTTAATCTTTATTTGCTAAATCATACGCATCTGGAATGTTTTTCAACTTCTAGGTATTTATAAAGGTGGCCTACTCACTTTGTGCTTGCTTCCCGTCACTTTGTGAAGTACATTTGTTATCTTTTTTTTTTTGAAAAATCAAAGTCAATTTGTGAAGTTTGACCCATTTAAAAAGAACGCTCACTTTCGTGAAATTATAGTAACCGTATTTTGTTTTTGTGTTTATTTTTTCTATTTTTCACTATTATGATTTCTTTTGTGCAGTTGCGCTTCTTCAATTGTGTAGTGTCGATGCACCATCCTCCTCTAAAAAAAGCCTAGGGTTCAGCGCCGCCGACGGTTCGGCTCATGTCAGATGGCCTTAGGGCTATGGTGGCGCTGTGGATCCCGGCCTTTGCCGATGGGAGGTCTCTGTTTTTAGATATTTCTTCGAGTTTTGTTAGGGTTTGTGTTATGCTTAGGAAGACAAGACGATGCCGGCTCCTTGAAGATGGAACAAGGGTTCTCCGCGCCTCGGCCCCGCCCCGGTGGTACGTCTAGCATCGTCGATGGGTGTGTGAAGGTGTGTAGCGCATCTGTCTTTGGTGGATTTGTTTGGATCTGGTCGTCGTTTGTTGACGTTCATATGTCTTCATGTTCTATTCTTTCAATCTATGGCCATTGTTGTTCTTGTTCATTGGTTCTACGAGGCCTTCGCACGGCGACTTCCTGACTGTCTACTACAACAAGTTTTGCCCGGCTCCCGCGAGGGAGGGGTGACGGTTACGGCGCGCCTTCGGCTCGCTTCTGTGCTTGTACTCACCGTTAGATGGTCTACGAATCTAGATGTATTTTTTATTATTTTTGTTGTTCGTTCTACTACCATAAAGAGGAATAGATCGGAATTTATCCCACAAAAAATGTGTAGTCGCATTTTCATTATTTTTACTTGTTTTTGTTTTTTTGGCATATTTGTTGCGATTCTATTTTTATTTTGCAATTGCACTTTAGCTTTGTGGTAAAAAGTTACTTAAACTTCAAAAAAAATTCACTTACATTTGTCCTAGACATTCCCTAGTTACATCACCTATAAATTATGATGTCGATTGATGTTTTAGATGGAGTGCACATAAATGCACATATGAAATCCTTTTAAACCGATTGTAGAAGGAGGATTCGTAAGAAATGGGACAATCCAGAAGTTCTCATGCACATTCACATGTCTCTGTTTTCGTTTTCCTGTTAGCCCCTTGCGGCAGTGTTATGTGGAATTTTTTCAGCTTTCATTTCTTCGTTCCGTTATCCTTTGATAGTGGAATCCAGTCCCTTTTCGAGAAAAAAGATGCACATGCCCCGTCTTAGTCTTTTTCTTGTTCAGTGACAAAAAAACTCGCGAACTAGCTACATGTGCTGCTGCTCCTTGGATATTTTGTGTGTGATAGTACTTTCTTTCTTTATGAAACCACAACGATGGATTATTTATTAGCAAAGAGAGTTACTCAAAAAAATTTAGCAAAGAAACAGTTGGAGACTTTTGGGAGGGGAAATGTCGGCCCATTTATAAGAGAAACTAACATGAAAACTACACGGACTTAGCTAATTAAGGAAAATCATATGAAAAATGCACGTAAAACCAGATAACTAAGCTTAAAGCACCACTAAACAAAATGAATACTATGACAAACCAATCCGACAGAATAGACGTTCACAGACAAAGCACATCTTCAAGCACCGTGAGCCTCATCAACCCCCCACCATCCATCACACCCTTGACCCAATGACTCGTCATTGTGGCCGCACCGCCGTGAGTGCTTTCTGATCCACCAAAGCAATCCTAACCATTAAAACATTATACAATGAGAGATGCTTAGGGGAGGTGCTTAGAGAAATAAACCAGACTTTTCTTCAACACCGGTGCTTATTTATACAGGATAGACGTTTAACTAAGCGCATCTCTTGTAGAAATAGGCACCGGTGCTTCCGAAAAAACCGTTTTATTTTTTTAAGCATCTCTCCAAACACCTTCCATTGTACAAGGTCTAATAGAGCTTTGACACTCTCTGAGTGCTCACCTATACATATGTGAGACATAATCCCTACAGGGCATTTGTGCAAGAAACGACCCCTAGTTAAGCTCATCGGAGCACACATTGGAATCCAGCAATGTGATATGTCAGGCTGTCAATTCATCTATTGTCCCGAAGAGAACAAGGGGGTTTTCAACTAATACATTTGTTTTCTATACGCAATCCATTTTGAAACCATACATCTTGAAATTATAATTATTGAAGCGATAAATAAAACCAAAGTACTATGGCACCTACACACAAATTTGTCATAGGTTCATGATTCACATATATAGTATTTTCACATGATCCTTTTTGTTAACACTAAACACTCACACCATTTCTTTTCACATTTCAGATGATTGCTTCCACAATGAGTCGTAAATTTTAGTTTCTCATTCTCTTCCTTTTTTTCTTGAATTTTTCCGTTTCTCATTCCCTACCTTATAATCTCTGTTGTTACTTGTGAGGAACTATAAGCTTTAGGGACTGACTAGTCCTCACTCGACTGAAAATAATTTTTGGGTCAATCACTTGGTTTTAAGCCGTTAGATGCCAAATGAATGGCTAGATCGCTTTCTTTATTCTCCCGCCCAACCTTCTTCCTCGAAACCGTCCCACATACAACCGGTCTCCGTCGCCCGTCCTTCACTCAGCCGCCGCCCCGACCATCCCTCTAACCTCGACAGTGAATAGATTTTTTCGGCAAACCTGACCCCTCCCCTCCCCCCCTAAGATAGACACCGGGCGAGCCTGACATCTAAGATAGACGCCAGGCAAGCCTGGCACCCTAAGGTAGAAACTGGGTGAGTCTGCCGCCCTAAGATAGACACCCGGTGAGCCTACCAGGACCCAGGGGGCTTCTCCGGCGAGCCGATGGCCGCTCCTTCCTCCGGCTGCTGCTTTCTTCATGTGAAAAATTGACTGACCCAAATATTATTCCTAGGTAATTGGAAATTTTATATAGAAACGCCTCATAAAACACCTAGAAACATCCCGGGAAAAATAAAGACCAACCACCAAAGTCCAAAAGAGTCATTGCACTTTGTACGCACATTTCCATCTTTCCGCTGCGCACCGCCCCTGCCACACGACAACAGGAGTGAGTGCAGGTGACGCGCGCGATGCCTTCCTCCTCCGTCGACCCGGACAACGGCGTCGCCACCGCCGCCGAGATCGACGACGCCGAAGCTGTGCTGCCGTCGAGGCCCACCGGCGACGAGCGCCTCGTGTCCTCCCTGCGCACGCAGGCAGACGTCGACAACCTCCGCAAGAAGCACGGCATCCCGAGCGTGTACGCCGCGCGCCCCGCCGGCGACGACCGCCGCGCCTGCACGCGGCCGCCGCCGGGGTCCATCTGCGTCTACGCGCACGCCCTGGAGGCCGGGATGCGCGTCCCGCTGCCCAGCTTCTTCTGCGAGGTGCTCGTCCACTTCGGCATCGCGCCGGCCCAGCTCATGCCCAACGCGTGGCGAGCCATGGCGGGATTCCTCGCGCTCTGCAACTCCGCCGGCGTGCCCCCGTCGCTGGCCGTGTTCCGGCGCTTCTTCCTGCTCTCCATCGTCAACAAGAAGCACAAAGGCTGGTACTGTTTCCGAGCCAGGGACAGCTCCGGCGCCGGCTTGCGCTTCACGGGGATGCCAGGGACACCCATGGACTGGAAGAAATTGTTTTTCTTCCTCTCCTCGCGGGAGTCGTGGCCTTGCCCCGTGGAGTGGGGCGAGCCGTCCATGAGCTCCTTCGTAAATCCGGCCCTCACCAGCGAGGAAAATAAATCCGCGGCGAAGCTATTGCGCGCTTACGGCGGCGCCGCCGTTGATATCAAGACATGTCTGTGCGATGGCAACCGTGCGGCCATCGCCATGATCCCCGCCGCATCTCCGACGCCGCCTTCTTCTACTACTACTAGTGTCAATTTCAGTTCCAAAGGTAACTGAACATCGAATTCCCTCTGATTCCCCTGTTTATTTCGAGCGCTCATCTTGCTGTTGAGTGCTATCTAGGTATGGATCCCTCCGTCTACGACATGATGAGGACTATGCTCGCGGAGAAGGCGGCCGCGCAAGCGTCGGCGTCGGCGAGGAAGGCGAAAGCCGAGCCGTGCAGCAACGCGCCAGCGCCGCCTCCTTTGTGCGGGAAGAAGAGGGGTCTGGAGGAAGCCAACGGCGAGGACAGTTCAGCTCATTCTTTGCTGAACACGCCGTTGTCCGGCATGTGTTCGCCGCCGCCGGGCTTCCCTGGGAAGCCACGGCACTTCCCCAGCAGGCACGACGGGGACGCCACGGGCTGGGAGGCTGCACGGGAGCTGCTGCAGGGCGCCGTGGCGCCGCTGCAGGAGCGCGCGTTCGCGGCGAAGGAGCCCTCCGACGTCGTGAGGTCAAGCTACGCTGCGATTCTGCGGGTATGTCTTGCCGGCAAATGCAACGGCGAATTATTCATCGGGCTGCCCGGAGTCCAATCGACCGCACTGACTGTTTGCAGGCGGCGAACTACGCGTCGTACTCCCTGGGCTACGCGCTGGAGCTGGAGAAGAAGCTGGCGGCGCGGGACGCGGAGGTCGCGGCGCTGCGGGAGCAGCTGGGGGCGGCGAAGGCGGAGCTCGCCGCAGTGCAGCGCGCGGCAGAAACCGACGCAGAACGGGGGAAGGCAAATGCGGAGCTCGCCGCCGAGGAGCGCGTGCGGCGGCGCGCGGAGCACGCGCTGGAGGGGTACGAGCGCTGGCGAGGTAGTAGGAGAGCGGCGCCGAGGACATGGGGCGCGCTCCGGCCGCCTGATTAGCTCGTTGATTGATTTATTTTTTCTCTAACGTTGCCGACGCATTTCGTGCTCACGTTCACCTGATGATGGCCAGATGACTCGTCGGCGCATGTCACGGCCTCCGGTGCTCCGACTACCACGACTGCAACCACCCAGCAGATGAGCAATGGCCGGCACAAGAGAGCGTGTGCATCCACCAAGTATGACAAGAAGCAGTGGGTTCTGTAGCCAGGATGAGTAGAGCCGGTGGATGAACTCAACTGAATATTAGAGAACTCTGATGTTTTTTATGTTCTTTAATATTTTTTATCTCTGTCGATTTTCAGTCCAAAGTTTCACTACGTTTAACTGTTTCTTGCTTATCACTACTCCTATCACATATACTCCCTCCTTTCCGGTTTATAGGGCTTATCTCAAAATTCCAAGATGCATTAAATCATTGCATGCAAGAATTAAGAGAAAATTGACCAATGCATGTACTTTATGCATGCATGTATTTGCAATTAATGAATTCAGAAACATACTTTTTTGAGGAAAACAAACGCATTAATTAGGTGATTTTGTAAACTACAAAAAAGTATTTCACTACTCATCATTTATCTTGTTGAAGAGATTTTTGAACTGAGTCCTATAAATCGAAAAGGAGAGGATACTTTTTTTTCCTTTACAAAAGGAAGATAATCACCAGCCTCTTGTTGATTGATGCACACAGACTTAGATGAAGAGTTTGAAATTTTACAAATGACCCAACAAAACGGCATGGCAACTACCCGTATGCTATAAGGCTGGTCATAGTGGGAGTAACTTATACTAATGTCATGCATATGCGAAAAGTCCATTCTGCACCCGAGCTCATATGCTCCCGCATGAACAGTAAAATCGAAAAAATTCAAAAAATTCCAAATTTTTTTTGAGAGAAACATTGACAAAAGTTCTAAGTGCCTGCAAAATTTCATTATGAAATCACATTCCTGTAAGGCGTGGCAAAAAAACAAATTCAGTGCTTCAAAATGCATTTGAAAGTAGCTTTTTCAGAGTACTATTTTTGTTTTTTTTGCCACGCCTTCTAGGAAGGTGATTTCATGACGAATTTTTGCAGGCACTTAGAACTTTTTTCAATGTTTCTCTCAAAAAAAATGGAATTTTTTGAATTTTTTTTTGAATTTTTTTTTGATTTTACTGTTCATGCGGGAGCATATGAGCTCGGGTGCAGATTAGCCGCGTCCCATGCATATGACACTACTCTAAATTACAACTTTCATAGTGCAAAGTAACATAGTACTAGTGTCATATATGACTTCATTTATTAGCTTGTAGACTCATCTTTTCTCGGAAAGCGCATGTTACAGTAACATATTATGTTAATCTAAACACCTCTCTCCTCATTAACTACGTGACACATAAGCAAAATTGTCTTGAAAAGCGCTATGTTACTAGCTAAGTCACGCCAAGTATGACCAGCCTAATACACCTAGTTTCCTAGCACCGGCCGTAACCCATATAGGTTGACCTCGTGCACGACATGCTGGAGTACAATAGGCGGCAGGCCGGCGGCGCACTCTTGTGCCGAATTTATTGCGAAGTTTGTGTCAAATTTACTCCGTTTTTATTTACTATATATATATTAAATTTGACTGAAGACAAACTTCGTAAACTTTAACCAAGTTATAGAAAACAATATAAATAATTACCATAACAAATATGTATGATGTCAAAGTAAATTAATCTAATGGTATTGATTTGTTAACGTATATGTCAATTTGCTTATAATTTTTATCAAAGTTTATGAAGCTAGACTTTGACCAAAGCTAACACGTGGATTATATAAAGACCGAGGGAGTACAAAGAAAAGAACAGCACGCCAGCCCACCGGCTACACAAGAGGGATTTGCCATGCCCACACTTGTGTAGCACAAATACTACTGCTAGATTGTCACCAAACCGGTTGAACATAGCAAGCTCGTGATACGGTTCCCAGTGTCTGCATCAGAGACCAGAGAATCTTCCAAAGTATCACTTATATAGAACCTTTTAATCCTCGCTGTAATTCTATTTAAGGCGTGGTCTACTATTTTTATTTTGTGTTCATTCATGAAAAATATAGTCAAACTTTTCTAAATTTTCAAGCATAGTTAAAGCCTTTTAACTTCACTTTATTTTTTGTTTTTCTTTATTTTGTTTGATCATTTTTAGTTCAAAGGGACGAGTCAGCCTAATTGAGCCCAAGTACAAAATAAAACCTTACACAAGATAACATTCCATTTGTTTATCGAGAGGACTAAACTCAGATGATATCTAGTTTTTTTTTACACAAAGAGTATTTGACTAGTTTTTTTTTTTTTTGAGGATAGAGTATTTTTCTATGAGGTAAACCAAACTTTATTGACTGGTGTTTCGGCTTATACAGGAATAACATTAACCCCATTAAGGTGCGGTAGAATGGTGGCCACCGTGAGAAAGTTTTTTTATTTATTAGAGTTTTTTTAAATGTTAGTGAGATTTTTTTTCTTTTCAAGAGAAGTTTTTTAGGATTTTTTTTCTTTTTGAGATGATATGATGTCCACGTGATGCGAGAATGTTTTTTTTTTAATTTTGAGACAAAGATAAGGTGCGCACAACTTCCTCTTAAGCGGCTCGCAATGGCGGGCCCTGGGGTACACCCAGCCACAAGTGGCGCCTTGCCCCTAAGGAAGCACAAAATTTAACTAAATTATGAGCATCAACATTCATATGTCCACCTTCAAAGATAAAATTACATCTGGTAAGTGCCCCAACGCATTTTAGGAATGGCTCCCGAAAATCACACCCCCACCCCTCAGGAGGCGACCGCCTGGCGATTGACCGCCGGCACAACCCCACCCCTGCCGGAGGCCTACGCCGGCCCCCCAACCCAGAGAGAGTGGGAGCCTACATCCCCACGGCACCGCGAGCTCGTCGAGGAAGACCCGCTGGGTCTCCACGAGATCCGGAAGAAGATGGGAGTAGCGATCCGCCTGGTGGTTCATCGGAGGATGAGAGAATTATAGGAGAGCCAGGTGGGAAGGAAGCTACCGGTGTAGGGGCTACCGGGGAACTGGCGGGCGCGAATGAGAGCGCCCGTCAGGAGGAATGACGATCCTCTGTTGGAACTGTCGGGGATTGGGCCACCCCGAAACAGTTCGAGAACTGGTGTGCCTAGTGCGCACATACCGCCCCACTATCGTGTTCATCTAAGAGACGCGGCAGTGCGAAGAGAGCGTGAAAAGAATAAGAGAAAGAATAGGCCTCAAACATTGTATCACCCATGATGGGTTGGGCAAAGGTGCCGGCATCGCCCTGTTTTGGGACGATAGTATTGAAATAAATCTGCTCTCTTATGGACCGCGGTACATTGATGTTCACGTGCGTAATGATCCAAATGGCCCTCTGTGGAGAGGTACCTTCGTTTATGGTGAGCCAAGAGCCCACCAGAGATACCATATGTGGAGTTTGCTGAAAAGAATCAAAGATAGGTCAGTAGAACCATGGATGGTGATGGGGGATTTCAATGAAACTATGTGGCAGGGAGAACATTTCTCTGCTGCCAAAAGATCTAAAAGGAACATGAGAAACTTCAGAGAGGTGTTGGGGTGGTGTGACTTGCATGATCTTGGGTTCAAAGGCCCGGAGTGGACCTTTGACAACAAACAGAGTGGTAGGAAGAAGGTTAGAGCGAGACTGGACAGAGGTGTGGCATCACCTAGCTGGTGTGATATATTTCCCCAAGCTTAGATCCAACACATAGTCACTTCAAGATCTGATCACTTTCCCCTACTGCTCACTCTTGTGGAGGAACAATCTATGAACAAGAAGAAGAGTTTCAGGTATGAAATGATGTGGGAAAGAGTTCATTCCTTGGAGCCTACTGTCCGGGAGGCATGGGGTATTAAAGGAGCGGCCATCAACCTATCCGATGTCGCACAGAAGCTTAAAAATGTCCAAAGCTCGCTAACAGCCTGGGCCAGGAAGGACTTTGGTTCTGTGACCTCGAGTATTAGAAGGAAGAGATACCGCCTGAAGGTATTAATGGAGCCCCCGAACCTTGGAGAGAACGAGCCTCAAATCAAGAAATTGAACGAGGAAATTGATGAGCTACTAGTCAGAGAGGAGGTAATGTGGAGACAACGTTCGCGGGCTACATGGATCAGAGAAGCTGATCAGAACACACGGTATTTTCACCAAAAAGCAACCTGGAGACAGAAAAAGAACTTAATCAAAAAGTTAAGGAATAATGAGGGAATTTGGGTAGAGAAAAAGGAGGTGTTGAACACCATGGCTACAGAGTTCTTCAAAGAGCTGTACACAAAGGAAAAAGATGTGGCTCCGTTCGAGTTAATTGATCTTCTGCCATGTACAATAACAGAGGCAATGAACAGTAGTCTGATAAAGGAGTTTACAGAGAAGGAGATTGGAGATGCCCTCTTCCAGATCGGCCCTCTAAAAGCGCCAGGACCAGATGGCTTCCCGGCTCGTTTTTTTCAACGTAACTGGGAGACTTTGAAGAAGGATGTGATTGCGGCAGTGCAAAAAAATTTCATGAATGGGATCATGCCTGAAGGTACAAATGACACATCCATTGTTCTGATCCCTAAAGGCAAGAATCCGCAGAGTTTGAAAGATTTCCACCCAATAAGTCTATGCAACGTCATTTATAAGGTGATTTCCAAATGCTTGGTAAACCGCTTGAGGCCTCTGTTGGACGACTTGATATCAGAAACACAGAGCGCTTTCATCCCGGGGAGGATGATCACTGATAACGTTATCATAGCTTTTGAATGTTTTCATAAGATTCAGCATAGCAAGAACCCACATAATACGCACTGTGCGTATAAGTTGGACCTAGCCAAAGCATATGACAGAGTGGATTGGGACTTCCTTGAAGGTGCAATGGAGAAGATGGGTTTCCACTCACTCTGGATTAGTTGGATAATGAGTTGTGTTAAATTTGTCCGCTTCTCGGTAAAACTGAATGGGGAAGTGTTGGAGTCGTTTATGCCCTCTAG